TCCATCACCAAAGATCAAGTATTGGTCTGATGATGAGCTTGGCATGAAAGCCCTAGTCCGTGTAGTTCCTGAGTCCCATAAAAATCCCATCTTGACCCTTTCTTTCTTTATCTGAAAGTTTGAATCTTTGCAGCATACCTAGCTTAATTATTAGTTTAAAAGATTTCTGTTTACTCTCGCTGCCTTGTCTAATGGGTTTGACTGACACAGCCGTAATCATTGCTTAGAACTTGATCACTGAATTCTCGCCTCTTAATCTGACTTGACTTAAACAAACTTGAATACCGTAATGAGCTAAACAACCTGCTAATGAATTGATTAAACCCATATCGATGTACTACATCGGCTTTTAGCCAATATAGGGTATTGACCCGTGAGGTTAAAAACCTGCTCGTCAAGCGTCACCAAGGGTGAGTGATGGTTGTCACCCCTTGAGGACTCCTTGTTTAGAAGATCCTCAGTTTTGCTCTAGAATTTACAGTCTCCATATGAGCTCAAAATGTACTTCAACCTGTAAATATTCGAATAGAACTAACAAGACCAAAAAGACTCTATAAATAGGACTTATATCATGGTTAAAAACCATAAAAATCATGATATATCAACTCTCCCATACTTAGCTTTTGCTTGCCCTCAATTAAAACAGAAAACTAAGAATATAGTTGGTTTGAAAACGTGGAATCTGTAAATCATTGTACTGACTGTTCATTTTGTAATCTACACACGGCAAGAGTCAATCTAAATCAAACCACCATGTAATTCTCCTTAGGCATTCACAGCATCTCAGATTCAACTCATAACTTCACAGCATTATCCATTAAAATATCCTTGCTAAACCTCATCATTGATCTAAATGTTCAAGAAACTCATGAGATTGAACTAGAGATTAAACCGCAAATCATCTCTATAGTGAAGAAGAATCGGTTTCACAGAATGTCTACCGAGCACCCAATGGATCATATTGAGATATTCGAAGATATCTGCAGCACCACAAAAACCAGTCAGAGTCCATAAGAGTATCTGAAGTGTAAGTTGTTCCTTTTCTCTATGAGTGACAAAGCTCACCGGTGGCTGAAGACATTGCCACCTGGATCGATCACTAACTGAGGAGAATGGAAGTCTGCTGTCTTAGCTCACTTCTATACAAAGTCAAGATCCAACTCACAGAGGAACAAGATACAAGGTTTCCAACAGAGACCACTCGATTTATTCTTTGAAGCATGTGAACGCTTTAAAGAATATGAACGTGATTGCCCACATCACGGTTTTTCTGATGCTAGTCTACTCAATAATTTCTACTGATGCCTGCAAGAAAAATATCAGCTTTCACTTAACACAGAAAGCAATGGAGACTTCACCACTAAGACAGAACGCTAAGGACGCGCCTTGATATAGAATCTCGCTATAAGTAACATCAATGACAGTCCTGGTTATGATCAAAATTTGGGGATCAGAGATTGATATACTTTATATTTTACCATTTTTGCATGCATTTATCATTAGCTTTTAGTCTCTAAGCATGCAATTTCACTTGTTCTTGTCTCATTTGCATCCATTTAGGGCTTAGAGTTTGTTTAAGATTTGCATTGCATGTTTGGTGCATTTGGAGTTTATGGCAGATACATTTGAGGTGTTTGGAAGCTATGAAGAGCTTTGGAGATGATCAAGGAGTTGAGCCAATGCAAAGCAAGGAGGAACCAAGGAGTTAAGAACCATATCGAGCTGCATACAGGGCAAGCTTGCTCGATATGGACTCGTATCGAGCTGCATATTGACGTGGCCACGTTGATACAACATTCAAGACCAATACCAAGGTGCATATCGAGGTGCACAAGTCGATACACACGCAACAGGACAACCACATCTAGCTTAATATCGGGCCAGCCGGCTCGATCATTTCCATTCCGACTTCCATAACGAGCTGGATATCAAAATGGCTTGCTTGAAACAAACTGTTAAGGCGTCAATATGGAGTTGCGTACCAAGGTGGAACAGTTCAATACAACCACCAAGACGAGCATATCGAGGAGCATACCGAGGTTTCTTGATCGATACGGACTTCAGCATGAGCAATATCGAGCTAGATATCGACTTGGCCAGTCCGATATGGAGCATCCGAATCAGACCAAATCCGGTTTACTCCTGGTTTACTAGGGATCCCTTTGCCAATTAAGAATGTGTCGATGGTGTAAAGTAGTGATGCACAAAGTCTCGTGTACAATACCATTCTCGCTGAAGTAGTTAGTTAAGCACATAAACTCTCTACCATTGTTGTTGCGTAGTGTTTTGACTAGCTTTCCAAATTGATGCTCAATCAGTTTACAGAAATTTGGTATAATGGTTTTGGCCTTCCTTTTTTCAAAAAGTAAATGTATCCTGATAACTTATGAATTGTCATCTACGATTGTGAGAAAGTAAGTTGCGCCGGATAAAGAGGGAACTTGGTAAGACCCGTAAATTAACATGAAGTAAATCAAAAGGAGCTGAAGATTTATTAATATTCTCGTTGAAAATTTTGCGACTTTGTTTGGAGTTGAAACAAATCTCTCATTCGCCGAAGTTGTCGAGAATGTTTTTAACACCAAAAACAAAAGATAAAAGACCTAAAACACCAAACAAAGGATGTTCCAGCCGGGGATGCCACATGGCTTGAGCTTCTGCAGCCTTAACTCAGTGTCCTTGCTTGATCGTCACATCCTGATAAACATAAACACCATCTTGTTCTTCACCAGCTCCAATCAGCGTCTTTGTAAAATGATCGTGCAAATAACACAGTGTATCAGTGAACAGATAATAACAACCAGTTTGCCTAAATAACTTAGCCACATAGAGCATAGTGCAACTGAGATCAGGGATAAATAGAACATGTGACAGTGTCATCGACGATCCACTCTTTGTAGCCAATATTTGACTACCATCAGCAAAACTTACAAGATAAGATATAATGTTTTATATCTTAGTGAGGAAATTCACATCTCTCATCATGCAATGTGATGCCCCTGTGTCTAGTATTACTTCTCGTGTTTGAACCTTACCCTTTAACTTGTCGGGGATTGGATTTGGCTTTTGTTGCTGCAACAACGCAGTTAGTGAGGCCTACTGCTCTGACTCAGACTTGGACTTGCGCTGTTCTGAGTTCCGTAATTTCCTGCAGGTGGTTGTGTAGCATTCAATCATGGCTGGTTTGATCTACCACGTCCTCTTCCCCTTCCTGCAGCTCCACGATTTTGCTTTAGTTCTGTCCACCATTCGGGAAACGAATAATTTGCCATCAATTTGTTTTTATGTTTATTCCTCCCACAATGCTCACACGACACCGTGCTACGACTTCTTGCTACAGCAGCAATTAAACAATTCATTGATGGGGATTCAGATGCACTTGCCTCCACTCTTGACACAAATTCCACTTCTGATTGCTTCGGCTCAACTGGAGAAGAAGTAGTACATCTTTCTTCTCGCACAACTCTTTAATAGACAGAGTTTAAGTCGAGGAGTGGATCCAACCCGATGATGTTTGTAGACACAAGTCTCGTAAAAAAGCTAATGTACTTTTTCACATTCATACTTGGTGGCAATTTCATATGCAGCTCCGCAGGTACTCTTCGGAAGAGATTTGTAGCTAAGATTCTCTTCCCACTTCAACGACAGGCTGCCAAAATACTTCATTACGCTTCCACCATCTTGCCTACACACAGCTAGTTCAGACTTGATCTGCTGAACACAAACAGCGTTTCCAATAGAAGAACTTTTTTTTTTTTTTTTTTTTTTTGGTAAAATCAATAGAAGAACTTTTCTTTAGATTACTCCACATTTTGAATGCAGCTGCCGTGGATGTCACAGTTGATCGAACAGCTGGTGAAATTTATGTCCAGCCGACAATCATCAAGTTCACCATCTTCCACTTCTCTACATCGATTGGTTTCTTTTCTTCATATGGCATTAGAAAGCTTCCATCGATGAATCCAGTTTTATGCTTCGCACGAAGCACGTTCTCCAGCTCTGATCCCCCACTTGGCGTAGTTTCATTTGTTAACATAACATGCAAAATCGAAATTATAGGGCTGAAAAACTCTAAAATTGTCTAACAGAACCAGAAAATATGGTGACACCATATACCAAAAAAAAAGATTTTGAATCTCTAGAAAAACTTGGTATCATGTAAACTAAATTTTTCTTTTTTTTTGGGTAAATTGTGTTTCTTTCACATTTTCTCTATATACAATTCGTATATAATTTGAGCAACATTCTCAAATATACATTAAATATATTCTATTTTTATCATCTATACATTTGTATATATCTTTAACTCACATAATATATTCGGAATGTTTTAGAATTATCTACAACTTCCTAACAAGATTCTTTTTTTTTTTGTACTTGTTCTTTTGTAGTGGGATTAATGGTAAATATGTTCTTGGCCAAGTCTGTACAGGGTATTTATTATGCTTGGGAAAAGTGAAAACATGGTTCCGGCAAATCCTAACTTGAAAAAAAGAATTTTTTTTTTTTAGGACTTACCGATAAACTAGTGGACCTACATCAGTAAGAATGGGAGCCCAACATTAGCCCATCGTGTTTTGTGCATATCAGAGTAATTACGTTGGATCGGTTTAGTGATTTTTTTTTTTTTTTTAACTGGATTTTCAAATTAAAGCATAAGAAATAAAAAGTTTACAGAGCCTTAAGAAGGCCCAGTATTGGAAGCCCACTATTACAAATTATAACTAAAACCGTTAAAATAGAACTAAACCAGAATCAAACCAGAACCAAACTAGAACCAAATAGTTAAAATCTAACCAAAAGTTGGTTGTGTGTAATTGAATGTTGTCCAACCGTTTCTGAGAGAGACATCGTGAATTAGGGATCTTGTCTAAGCCCGAAGCTGAAGCTGAAGAAGCATTTAGGGATTACCATCGCCGTTGAACCATAATTGGAGTAAGCTTGACGATAAGGAAGGATTGGAGTCTCTAAAACTCGATGCTTTGTTCCTCACTAGAAGATCAATCTATCTGATTATTAGCTGAGCAGTAGTTGTTTCTGTGAAGTCGATTGTTTCTCTCCAACCAGATTGTATAAATTGTCGCTTGCCAAGCTATCAGAAGAAGGTGTTTTTTATGTCTATTTCCCGAAAAGTTGCAGAGATCAGCAATAGTATCAGACCAAGTATGGTGAGGGGTATGGGAGCAACGATGACAGATTGAGGTCCAGATTTCCCAACTATAAGGGCACTGAAAGAGGAGGTGGTCTCGCGATTCATCCGTTGAAGCACATAGAAGACAGAGGGGGTCTACTTAAAGTCCCCAGTTCCTAATACGATCTCAAGTTGGGCATCGATTAAGAACAAAGAGCCATGTTAGAAAGCGATATTTAGGGATACCTCGAGAGGTCCAGACTATTCCGTACCAAGGAACCGACGGTAAGCGCTCCCTTAGTGCCGTGTATATACTGCCAGTGTTGTGCTTCTGCTTTATCACATCATCAATCCACCATTCATACACATCATCGGTTTCAGAGGAGAGTTGTATCAACGTTAGCTGGAGTTGGATAGTTACTTGTTTCTCCGATCTAGCTGGAGGTAAACTCCAAGCTCCCTGACGCCACAAGTCTGCCAACCTCGCATCTCTTGTTATTCCCACCTGGCGTGGACCCTCCATCCCCAAAAAGCTAGATAATCTTCCCAACGAGCTCCAATTATCTTCCCAGAAGCGACAAGAGACTCCATTCCCCACCTTTAATTTAATCCAAGGGTACACTTCTTCTCTTGACTTGAGCATTTTATTTGATAACCACGAGAATCTTTGATTTGGTTTTTGAGTCCAAAAGTTGCCTAAAAAGTCAGACAATATCTCTTTCCTGAACCAGGAGACCCAAATCGAATCTCCCCTGAAGAATATCATCCAAATAAGCTTGAAGAGGCACGCTTTGTTCCAGTTTAGTAAGTCTCTCACTCCTAATCCCCCTTCTCTCTTATCTTTGATGACTGTTGACCATGCCACTTACGCTGAGTGGTGTCCATCTGTGGTTCCTTTCCACAGAAAAGCACTAGAGAGGGAGTTTATTGTTGAAATGCACTTTTTTGGAAGGATGAACGATGAGCACCAGAAGTTGGTGATACCAGATATAACCGAGTTCAACAGTTGAAGTCTTCCAGCAAACGAGAGTGACTTTGTTGTCCAAGCATTTAGACGAGATTTATCTTGCTGGTGGAGAGGGGCACAGTCTAGCAAGGTGAGTTTCTTAGTAGTCAAAGGAAGTCCTAGATATCTTACAGGGAGGTATCCATGAGTAATTCCCGTTGCTTGTTGAATTTGGTCAATTTCAGGTTGAAGTAGACCAGAAGAGAAGAAGCTGGTTTTTGGAAGACTAATTGCAAACCCAGAAATAGCTTCGATATCATTAAGAACTTTCAAAACATTCTGAACCGAAGTCAAAGATCCATCCAGGAAGATGAGCAAATCATCCGCAAAGCAAAGATGAGTGGTTTTAGAGTCTTGACACTTGAGGTGATATCGGAATTGACCATTTGATGCGGCTTTGTCTAACATTTCAGAGAGACAATTCATTGCAAGGACAAAGAGATAAAGGGATAAAGGGTCACCTTGGCGTAGACCTCTTTTGCCTTTGAAGTAACCATGGACGTTGCCGTTATAGCCAATAGAGAAGGATGGAGTACATACACATCCCTGTAGCCAACTGATGAAGGTTTCAGGTACCTCTATTCCTCTTAAACAACTAAATATAAATTCCCATCTAACTGTGTCAAAAGCCTTGGCGATATCCACTTTAATGGTGATTCTCTTTGGTCCTTGTAGTTTGTGATATCCTTGGACAAGCTCAGCAGCAAGAAGTGTATTTTTCACTAGTAGCCTTCCCTTAACAAAAGCAGTCTGATTCCTAAGTATGAATTTAGGGAGGGCACGCTTTAGCCTGGAGACCAGAAGCTTTGAGATGACTTTGTAAAGAGTATTGCAACATGATATAGGACGAAACTCTGAAACAAGAGAGGCGCCTGGGTATTTGGGGATGAGCGACAAGATTGTAGCATTAGTTGCGGTTGGCATGAAAGCTGTGTGGAAATAACCCGTGATGCTGTCAATGAATTCTTTTCCGACAACGCTCCAAGCAGCCTTGTAAAAACCTGAAGTTAGTCCATCTGGCCATGGAGCTTTGTTTGGGTTAAGCTTGAAGATAACTCTCTGTATTTCCTCGGCCGTAGGTAAAGAAACCATATTTTGCTTGATAACATCACTAAAGCGATAGCTTATAAGAGATTGAATCCATGTAGGAGGGCACGTGATTGGGTCCATGGAAGCAGGGGCAAGAATTCCTTGGAAGTGAGAAACAGCAAGGTTGCACATTTCTTGAGGATCAGAGATAACAAGCCCTGCCGGAGTGGTGAATGTTCTGATTGCATTAAAGCTATTCCGGAGCTGTGTAATCCTGAAAAAGTAAGCTGAATTTTGATCCCCTTCCTTCAACCAATGAATACGAGATTTCTGCTTGAAATAAGCCTCCTCGATGCTTCTCAGTCTATCTAGAGTTGTGAGAATATCTCGTTCTTGCTGAAAGAGAGAAGAGGACGGATTAGTTAGAGCTTGCACCTGCACAGATATAAGTAAATCGTTAGTCTCTCTCACACGTTTCTGAATATCGGAAAAAATTTCCATGGTTAAGATTATGAGCTCTCTTTTTAGTGTTTTTTGCTTTGCACACAACAATGACAAACATGTTCCCTGATGCAGAGAAGCTCCGGCTTGGATCCAAGCGTTTTCAATCAGTGGGAGGAAGGAGGGGTGTTTGGTTAGGTGATTGAAAAATTTGAAGGGTTTTGTCCCTGCCAAAGGAAGGGGAAAAGCGAGATTTAAGAGGCAAGGGGCATGATCTGAGAAATCAGGAGCTAAGAAAGAAGCAGCACTATCCGGGTAGTTGGATAACCAGTGATTATTAACTAGGAGTCTGTCAAGCTTTTTCGCGCAGGGATCAGCAGGCTGCTTATTAGTCCAAGTGAAGGTGGGTCCCTGGTATCTCAGGTCAAAGAGATCTAATTGCATCATACAGTCCCTCATTTCCAGCATATCTGATGTAATATGATCCACTGCAGGATCTGAATGTTCAAGCGGATGAGTAATCTGATTGAAGTCTCCACAAACAACCCACAGGCAGTTACCAAGAGAGAGCGAGTGCTGTATGTGGATGAGCTCGCACCAAAGGCCAGTTCGTTCTGCACAAAGGTTCGAAGCATAAACCGCAGTGAAGAAGAAAGAGTGACCTCCTGGGATTGTAATATGGCAGGTTAGAAACTGCTTCTACTGGCGAATGATTGAGATAGTTACGGGCTGCTTGAAGATGATAACAATTCTCCCGTCATCGTCTGATTGGTGGTTGGAGACAAAATTCCATCCTGGACAGGTAAGATTCATAATGTGGTTCAAGTTTGGTTCTTTGATATGAGTTTCTAGAATAGCGCCAAAAAGGGGTTTAAAAGTAGTAAGCCAAGAAGAAAAAAGCCGATGTTTGTCCGGAGCATTTAGTCCACGGACATTCTAAAAAAAAGATTGTACACTCATCAGGAAAGATGAGGTTTTACCTCTAGGGGAAGAGGTGTTTCCGACAGAGGATAGGTTTTTAAAGGGGGCAGAGAATCAATCACCATGTCCTGTGATCCTGGTGAGGGAGTTGAATTGTTTAAGATTAAAGAGTCCGGAGTGAGGGAGGAAGAGGAGCAGGAAGCCAGAGTGGCAAAAGAATTTGATATGGTAGTTTGTATAGGTGGAGAAGGAGCTTTTATTGCCCCTGAAAGAGGTTTAGAATTGTTGAGTGGAATAGGAGCCTCAGTGGAGGTTTCGATAATGGTGGGCAAATCTATAATAGGGAGAGAAGGAATGAAATCAACAGGACGGGTTTGAGGTCCAAAAGTAACCTTTGAGCTTTCTTTTTCAGAAACAGGTGTCTGGATAGAGCTAGAAGAAGCCAAAACAGAGTGTGGAGACTCAACGTGGGAGCCATACGGCCCAGGAGGAGATCCATCAGTCGTATGTAAAGGTCAACTCGCTTTTCCCTTGCCTTTATCTTTCTCTGTGTTTTTCTTTAGTCCTGATGGCCTGGCTGTTGCAGAAGGTAGGGGGAGCGAGGGACAGAACCTTATGACATGTCCGAGCATATTGCAGTTGGAGCACGTAGGAGGAACCCATGGGTACACCACGTCAATGTTAATGACGGACCTATCATCCCGAAAGACTTCAACAGAAGAAGGAAGGGGATTGTTCAGGTTAGCTTCCACTTTAACATGGGCCTCTGTTAGGCTAACCAAGTTCATAGTAAATTCATCCCTTTCCTTTGGATCTCCAATTAGACCAGCCACTAAACTAATACCCTTTCGGTGCATTAGGTTAAATGGCATTCCTTTTAGGTGTGCCAAAATTGGGATAGCATCAAGATCTTGAGAGGCACCTCCTGAGGAATCCCATTTGGCAACAAGGAACATACATTCACCAATATACCACAGTTTCTTTTGAATCACTTTGTTACGGATGAATTCATTTGGGATCCTGACGAGCATTGAGTGGTTAACAGCATTAAGGTGGATTTCCAGGCGCTGTCCTTTACCCCAAAGGTGGCTTAGTACATTCTGAATATGAGTATAAGTTGGAGGCCTCCCTTTAAATCGACATATATTGAAGTCTTTGTGCAGGTCATCTCTTTCTTGGAACACAGAGTCAGGGATAGCCACTTGTGGCTTTCCTTCTGGGGAAAAAGCTATCAGAGCTAATCTTTCCAAAGAACGGTCAGCAACTCTTTTTAGTTTTTCCGCCCAAGTCTTTGTTGCTTTATTTACTAGCGGAGGCACATTTGTAGCATTTACAGAAGGCACAAGCGGAGGTTGATATGAAACATTCACAGCGGGAGTCTGATTTTCAGTAACACTAGCAGCCACTTGATGAGCAACCACTTGCGCCGTAGCCTCTGATCTCAAAACAGGGGCAACACACCCTGAAGAGGAAGTAGTAGTATTACCAACAAGAGAGGAGAAAGGTAAGGTTGGATGGGAGAGAATCCCTTTAGAGTGGGTAGTTGAGAGTTTAATTGGTACTGTAGATAAAATTCCAGAATTAAGGTTTACAGCCGCCACATCTTGGAAGAAGGTTGAGTCAGAAGAAAGGGAGGAATTAACAACAACAGGTCTAGAAAAGTGAGAAGCAGGAAGGGCAAGGACTACATTCTCCGGCTCAACAAAAGCAGTTAGAGAAGAGTCCAAAGGGGGAGAAAGAGGGGAGGAAGGAGAGTGAGGAGAAGAAAGAGGGGGGAAATTAGTAAGATTAAGAGGGTGGGAAGGGTCTGGAGGGTCTGGGGGAAGGAGAAGAGGAGGATTGGAACTATTTTCAGCCGGAGCTGAAAAAGGGTTCAAGCCGGAACTTCGAGCAGCAGCGAGCCAGCGGTTCGCCATTTTCAGTATGTTATGTTTGATTTTTGTTATGTTGGAACAAATCTGCAATCACAGAGGAAACACTTTAACAGTTCCTTTAAAGGAGGAGATTTTTATTAAAGTTCCATTGACATCTCTTGCAAAAATCTGATCGTAGCAAAAAGTGGGAACACTTTATCCAAATAAACACCATGGTCAAGCAAGAGTAGCATAAAAAAAGGTGGTCATTATGGTGATCAGATGATGGATTTGAATATTTATTTGATGAGCATCAATCTTCACAATAACAACGTTGAATCATGTATCTAGCGTGAAGCTAAACTCATTACCCTAGACAGATCAGATTCGGAATAAGAGAAGGTTTAAATTATGCTTGTGCTGCAAGTCAATGTTTTTTACAAGTAGTCATGTAAAGTCAATTTGTAATATAAACTTTTTAAATTAATACTTGATAAATTAATAATTTTTTTATTTTAAGTTGAGTCAATGCAAAATATAGTATAAATTAATAAGATAATAATTTTTTAAAAAATATTTATGCAAATACACGATTTTTATTGTCTAACACAAATATACGGTCTTAATATTATAATTTAATAATTACTATAAAAATAATCTTATACAAATATATAATTATGATAATATATTAAAATATGAGTACATTATTATTTTTTATTAAAAATTGAAATATTTTTTTATTATTTATTACTTATTTGTAATGAAACTTTGAAAAATATTATTTTAATTAATTAATAATAAATATTTTATTTAATTTAAAATTGATAAATTAATAACTTTATAAATTCATAATTTTATAAATTAATAAAATATAAAAATCGTAATATTATAAACTTAAAGAGTTTTACTATATTATTCAAATTAATAATTTGTGCAACCATGTTAGAAACAGTTTGTCCCGGCAAGATAATCAATGTTCGTTTGGTATCCAAAGGTTTTGGGCTGACTCGGAGCCATGTTAGAACAGTTCGTCTTGGCCTTGCCATGCACTCCAGAAGAGTACAAGTCTAGTGATAAGTATGTTTTGTGCTTAAACAATCGATCCACTACTAATCAGTTGCAGTATCACAAAGGATCTTTTATCAATCCAAATGGGAAAGATTATCAAAGAGAATACATGACATTCTTGCAAGCTAAGCTAAAAAAAAAGAAGGGTTGGTTTTAGAAGTCTAAACAGTCATCAAACTGAAACAGGATAATAAACAAAGTGAAGCACAAACATCAACAAAGAATCAACTTAAGTAAACACAACTTTCAACTACCAAGAACATAGTAAAAAGAAGAGCAAAACAGAGTAAATGCAGGGGAGATTCGAAATTAAACAAACAGGGTCTTAGGATGATAATAATCAACCTAAAATGATCCTTAGCCTCAAACAAGATGTTCAAACAATCAATGAATGTATGATCCTTTAGTATAGAATTATAGCAAGCAAATCAATCCACTATCATGACAATGATTCCTTTGAATGCAACATAATCAAGATCTAACTTTCATTAGTGATCAGAAATTACTCAAGCATAAAAAACAGTCATATTTAGCCAATATACTCCATAGTCATCTATTCTCATGTGTAAGGATAAGCAAATACACTAAGAGGTTGGTTCAAGCATTTCAACACACTTTTGGTGCAGATAAAATCTAAATTAGAAATTCAGATGATCAGAAAAAATAAAGCATTAAGAACACCTAATAGTGAATGATCTAACATCATTTGTACCTCAACATCATATTTTAAGCTTTGGATCATCTTAAATATAACACATCCTTAAACCCAGAAAAAACTACTCACACATCATAGTTGATCTATCAAAAACTAAGCAAGAGATATAGGAAATCATGATCAGAAGCAATAACACGACACTCAATAACAGGAAATGCAAACTTTTATTAGAAACTCAAATTGTTATTTACAAATACCAAAAATCTGGAAAAGCTCAAGAACAAGAGAGAGAGAGAGAGAGATTATAAATGAGATAAAAGCATAAAACTAAAGATTAATTATTGGATAAGTGATAAGAAGATAAGGTTTTGCTTTTATAGTCAAGAGTCAAAGCCTGGTCAACTTGGTCAAAGCCTAAAACCCGAAAGTTGACCATAGTCAAAACTGCTTAGGAAGGGGGTTTATATCGGCTGACTGCCCAATACACCATGGTCGATACAGAAACGTGTCCTCTGATATCGGCTGTTTGACCGATATAAGTGGCCGATACTGGGGTCTCCAGACTCTTGTTTCTGTCTGATCTTTCGTATTGGTTGCGTGCCCGATACCTGACTCCGATACACGGTGACATCGACCTCGTGCCCAATACGCTACCTCGATACAAAGCTCATAAATTTCTCTAGCTTCTTTTAATGCTTCTCCTTGTCCAAGCTTGATCCTTAACTCTCCAAACATCCTCCATTGCCTCATAAAGACGTGAAATGCACTCTAAATGTAAGAGAATATGCAGTCCTAACACTATGCACCCTAAGTCTAATATGAATGCAAATGGTACATTTTAGACTATAAAGTGGATGATATGTTATGAAAAAAATACTAAATGAAGCCTAAACTGATGTAATTATGCAAGCTATCATCTAGCCGGGGCGAAAAAAGAGTTTCCTGGGAGACGGTTGAATAGGCTCACCCCGACCTTGCGGCGCATTCCGGAAGAGTATGGGTCTAGCCGGAGCGAAGCTGGATTTCCGGAGAAACAGTTGAAGTTTTAGAGAAATGGTTAGGTTCCCGGAAACTGTTAGATTGGGTCCTACCCCGGCTCGGGCATGCATCCCGGAAGTATACATGCTTGTCCAGAATAGGAGGACGTTAGGTTCCCAAAAGAACTGTTGGTCGCCTACAGATGTGCATCTTTCTGAAGGAAGCTTACTCCTTTTTTCATGAGGCACTAGACAAGGAGTCACCTTCCTTCCCCATTGAGATTATGAGGAACTTAAACCTTATGTGACCATGGGGATCGACATAAGGCAACGATGCGATTTTTAGACACCTACCAAAAATCACGTATGGCACCTTGAGGGGGTGAAAAGATGGTCCCTGTGTGCAGGTTGCTAACACGAGGGGGAGCCATTGCTTCTTTTGCAGCTTGTGCCAGACAGCTTGTGGTGAAACAAAGCATTTCCCGGAGGCGTTATACTGACTCCCTCACTGCCGGAACAGTCTTTGCATTGTACATACGCAGAAAGTTATCATGGTTTTAGAATCGCGTTAGGGAGGAATTTGTTTTAAGAAAAGAAAGCCCCTCGGAAGGAGCGACCTTAATTCCACGATGGTCTCACAGAAGGCAGGCACATCCAGAGAAGGAGCACACTGGTGGTTTGTACGGTTTCTGAAGGGAGCTGGCGAGGAAGATTCAGAGGTCTTCGGAACCGGAGTCCTAATTCCCGAAGGAAATATGCCCCGGAAGGCTGATGCATCCCTGGAAAGATAACATCAAAGAGTTGCGCGGTCCCCAGAAGGAGCTGGCAAGAGCACATGGAGGTCTGTGGGACCATAGTTCAGAATTCTCGGACGAATGATGCCCCAAAAGACAAGCAAGTGCACAGGGGAGCATGCTGGAAAATCGCACGGTCCCCGGAAGGAACTGGCGTAGAGGACCCGGAAGTCTGCGGGACTGGAGTACAGAATTCCCGAAGGAATAGTGCCCCAGAAAGCAAGTAAGTCCACATGGGAGCATGCTAGAAGAAAATCGGACTAAAGAGTTTTGATGGAAATTTGAACCACAAGCATGAATCAAAAAAGAGAATAACAGGTGAAATAAAGCTCCAAGTTTTAGAATATATGGGCAGAAAAACTAGAGAGAATCGAATCATTATGATGGTTTTATTACACATCAACGGACCAGGCATAAGGACAGCTTCTCCAAAGTCGATCACTTTCACTCGACTCCTTTGCTTCTTATGCTAATCCGCTTCCTTTAACTCCGACAAAATAATGCTTCCATTTACTTCCACTGCGTCCTTGAATGAAATAAAGTCAAAGTATGTCAATTAGAAAAAAGAATCGATATTGCGTGTGACTTAATAGTTATATGTATAATCAAGGCTTCGAGAAAGAAAAAAATCAATAGAAAATATTGAACTCTTTTCTCAAGTTAGCTGATTTTGCCCCCAATTTGGATCATTCTTAACCCTAATCATAATCATGTGTGTAAATTGACTAACATCCATGAGGAACCAATGAGAATTTGTTAAGATGATTCAGTCAACGTGTTTGAGAGTTGAGACATATATATAATACCATTTGAAGACAAGCTTCTAAGATGGAAACTCCAGAGGGTAAACATAAGAATAAACATTGATATCTTCCACCATTGAACCCACTTTTAGTTCTTCTGCACCCATTTTCACTGCTTCTTCAGCATGAGTGATTGCAATAACAAGTTGAAGGAATCTAAACAGTGTATTTACAAATCATGAGAGATTCTCTTTTAATTCCATGAACCAGCTTTATACTTACAAATCATTAACGAACCCCTTAAGTCAAAATTCTAAGCTAAATTCTATAAAACACTTAAAAGATGAATGTCAGAAGCAAAAACATTACCAGTAAACAACACTGACAAGAACATAGATAACAGAGAAGAGAGACCAATTAACATTTAATCCTTCTGAAGAGATCGATATCGCAGAAACACCAAAGCGAGCAATCATCAAATCCTTCGATTCTCCATGACACTTGCTTGAAATGTTGCTGCTCCTGCACCTGAAATTTAGAATTCCCATCGAATATCGCAAAAGCTTTTGACAGACAAAAACATAAAAACAGAAGAACAAACACCCACTGCTCACGAGCACATCCGAAGGGACACATAAAAGAGATTGCAGTATATGATTCCAATAGCCATATAACACTTGCAAGCTCTTTAGATTCGACGATGCATTTTTTTATGTCAATATACTTTTATTTCCGAACGATGGGCAAATAAGTTTCTTCTCATAATTATATTCATCATGATTCATAAATAGATGTCGATCAGAAATAAGAGTAGATGGAGATCAAT